GCTAAATCTACAGATGAAGCAGACTGTAAATTATAGCTTATAAGTGCAGCTTACAGCTAAAATCGATAAATAAATACTTCACTACTTATCAATCGTTTCAATATATCACACATTCGTGAAATCAGTGTAGTAGTTGACAACCTTCTCACCGCAATTTGCACAAAGATAAAAAATTTAACAAGAAAATGGACAAAATCTCCTTGGTCTGACCCCTTCAATTCCTTGGTCTGACCCCTTCAATTTCATGAGTTGAAAACGGACATACCTGAATGCCTCGCCCATTGACTGGAACGAATGCTTCAACGGTTGTTGTAAAATCACCACCAGCAAATTTCTCTTTTTCCGATTTACGGCCTTTGGTGACTGGTATAGCCAGAAGATCAGTGTAAACTTTAGCATACAAATCGAGAATTGTAAACACTTCCTCCTCAGCTTCTGCCGCCGTTTGGAACGCTGTATGCCCCTCCTGCCACAAGAACTCGCGTGTCCTCAGAAATGGAGTCGGATGTTTGAATTCCCAGCGCTAAAATTGGAAAGTTCACTGGTGCAAAGTACTGTCCAAAACAAAATAACAAAGAATATAAAAGTGCAAAATATTACTAAATCACGGACTGATGAAGCAGTTATCTCATATGGATTCCAATTCAAACACGAAGGGTAAGAAGATACACCTGGAAAATCAACTCTGCAGAACGATGGTCGGTTAGGTACAGACCGTGGTGATGCCCTTAAGAAACAGACACCTCGGAAAAAAAATCTTTGTTTGGCATTACAATTATTATGCGTTTTGTGCTGTGCAACAGCAGTACAAAACGCATATTGTCACGGGGTTGTCTGTGTGTGTTTGTGTGTGTGTCCCACGTTTCGTCCCGCACTTTCCACTCGGGAACCAAAAAAGCTAGGCGGCTGAAATTTTGGCATAAAAAATTTTATCTTGGTCAAAAACTCCATCCTATTACTCTTCTTTTGACTCTCAAAATTCTCCTCTTTCCAACTAGTGCATTTTTACCAAACAGAAAATACGCATCGAAAGCGAGTTGATTTTTCACAATTCACTAAGAATCCAGGCCAACAGAGTTTTCGCAAATGCACTAATCAAATTTAGCCATCAGTTCATGTTTCTTTCATATTGAAAAAGTAAAATCAAAGATTGGGACACCGTTAGGCAAAGCATACCACAACATTGCACCACTGATTTAGTCGAATTGGCAAATCACGATGAGACTGCACCCATTTCGCATAGCTTGGATACATCACCGTCTCACTTGTTGGACGTATTGCAATCGGTTCGCTCAGCTCCGAACTACCAGCTCGAGTTACCCACGCCACCTGCAGTCAACATGTGCAGTCAACAAAAATCACACAAAAAAGAAACAGAGTTTTTAGGAAGTAACTTTTCTGTAAATAAGAAATGTACACAAATTCTAATAAAAAGCTGCGCGCCCCAGAGCATCCGTTGTGCAACGTTCGCCTTCTAAAAATTTAACTATTTTACATTTTCGTGTGCGCAAAAATAGTCGCCATGCTGTCTGGTTTCTAAGCTAAGAAATTTCCCACTAAAAACTTCGCGCACCGGTACGTGAAAGCTAAGTTTAAAACATGGACGGGAAATATCCTTCCAAATTTCAACCTACTAGTTTTTCGGCTTGCAAACTCATGACTTCCGCACCAAAACTTTCACATGGCCGTAGGTGATATCCCGGTGTAACTGGGAATCAAGTCTGAGTTTCTGTGATCTTTGCATAGGCAGAACACATCCTCCTGGAGTAGCTCTTCCAGTTCTCGAGATAGTAATTTTTTCCGCCGAAATTTTCGCGGGGGCCCTACAAGAGACCCAGGCTTAACAGAAAGCTGAATTTGAATGAATTTGTAAGCAGGGAACATTCTCGTTAAATTTCGGCTGTCCCGCTTCCGTGGCTCCTGAAATAATGATTTTCCTCGCCAAAACTTTCGCAGGGCGGCACGTAACACTCATGCGCACGAGAAGGCTGAATTTAAATTTTTGGGTCGTAAGTCGATGAGGAACATTTTACTAGAATTTTTACCTCTTAGGCTTTTCCCGGGAAAAAATGCATCCGGACACACACACACACACACACACACAAACACACAAACACACACATATACATACATATGCAGACAAGGACACGGCAGTATGTAAAAAGCATAAAAATGCAAAATTTCCCAAGTTTGGGGAAAAGAAGTCAGCGTCAGAACTATCAGCAAGCTGAGTACCAGGCAATACTGCACGGTCAAAGCAACTAGAAGAACTATTAGCTGCACAGCTGGATAAGCACTCCCTAATACTCCAGGATTATAATTTATCCAGCCTTATTCATACAAGCTTGTACACTTTATATTGTTGCTTATATTTCATTATTACTATAATACATTAATTTCCTGTAATTTAGGCACTTCCTGATCTAGTCTGATAAGTCAAATACTTTTCAGAATAATCGCATTTTTTGAATTTTTTTGAAGACCAGATCCGGAAGTACTTCTCTAACGAATGCCAACAAAAACCGCTTTAATCTGAAGCTATATTAAATAATCGTCCTTGTCATTTCTATCGATTCCTTCCTAAAATCGAAAAAAAAGTCGAAGTTAAACCAAAACAAACCTCAGGCGCAAAATCAGCAATATGCTTCTTCTCCTTTTCCAATGCATTTTGTGAGACAAACATTGGAAAATAACAGTTGCGTACGCCCAGTTTTTTGATCTCCTTGTCAAAGAAATTCTTGACAATTTCCCAGATTCCAAACGACCAAGGA